ATTCTGGACTGGTGAAATTAAAACCATTTAAATTTACATCCCAGCTTCCTGAATACACAGATCTAATAAATAAATAAATAAATAAATAAAAATAACCAAACTAAAAATCTTCCTGCTTTATCAACTTTTTTTCTTGCTGCAATAATCAATCAATCTTTATTCATAACGCACGCTTCACACACAAAATGCTTTTTAACCAGTTTGAAACAGAACAAAACGCAAGATAAATGCAACAAATAATAAAAACAAACAACAGAAACCTCCTCCAAAATCATTTAGAACATAAATAATTTGTAGAAAGTTTAAAAATGTCACTTTAATATGAAAGGACTGAAGGAATCAATAAAACACAAGAATATTAAAGTGGAAACATCAGAGGAATTTAAAATAGTCAAAAGCACAAAGCCTTCTAAACCCGGACAACGAGTAAAATCAAGGATGAATAAAGAAGAGAGGGGAAGAAACAAGTGAATGTAAGTTCAAGTTAAATAAAAGTTGAGTAATAAATGTTATAAACTAGTTGCCACATTGTGGCCATTTTAACATTTTATTCGACAGTACGGTGCGTTCGACTTCGCTCTCATCTACCACCAAAACAAATTTCATCTCAATATGGCAACAAATCAATGAGTTTTAGTCCTTTTTTTATTATTATTTTAAGCTATGGTAGCCATTTTTGATTTTGATTTGCATCAGTCTGTTAGGGATTGTTCTCATCTACCAATACACCAAATTTCAGCTAAACAGCTGTAAAAACATCTGTATTATATGCATTTCAATTAGCTTTGGCAGCCATCATGAATTTTTAAATTTGAACCAGAATGTGTTGTGCATCATTGTCTGCTACCACCACACCAACCGTCAGCTCATTATCTTTTAAAATAGCTGCGTTATCATATTTTTTCCCTTTTTAGCTAATCCGCCAACATGAATGTTTAATTTTCATTAGGAATGTATAAAAACTCGCTCTCAGCCACGACCGTACCAAATTTGAGCTCAATATCTAAATGAATGACTGAGTCAATTTTGAGTTTTCGGAGAGGCACCTTGAACCAAAATGGCTCCAAAAGTTAATCAGTGACCTTTCCACTCTGGGTCATGTGACCTCACTGTTCAGAGCTCTGTCAGAGTTTTTCGATGACAAAAACGGCGACTTTGTTTGCAAATTACGTCACCGTGGTAACTCATAATGCCAATAAAAGTAACATCGTGGTGCCAAGCCGGTTGTTTTGATGTAATATTTGTGGAGGGACACGTTGCCATTCAGGCCACATTAAAGTTGAAAGAAGAGCAAGATTCTTTTGCTTTCAATGAGCATATTTGATTAAAATGAGCAGAAATACATGCACATACACAAAAAGACATTTTTATATAAATCCTTTGAGTCGAGCTGTAAAAAGTGCACTGAAACTAATCTTAAAACTAAGAGACAACTTGTTACAGGCGGTGAATGAATGAATCATCTAAAAGTCTGAGTGGACGGGTGAGTCTAGCTGAAGAACATGAGCAGGCTCTGCTGAGCTCAGCTCCACAGACGAAGAACCACACCTGGGTTCAGTTCTAACTTCTCCCAGAGGAATCCACTGTCAAACAGCAGGAAGTTGATGGAGCGAGTTGTGAGATGGTTCTTCATGACCACACACGTCAAACTGGTTCATTGACTGAAAATTGCTGGATTGTATATCTGGATTATTGAGGATGGACTTTGTTGGTTTTGAACCAGTTTGACATGACTGTCGACGAGGGAGAGGGCCGGCACCGGAGGAGGGGGCGTGCCAAAGAGACCGTCTTAGCACCAACATAACTGGTTTGTTCCACTTTGGAGTAAGCTGTTGGGGGAAGAATCAGTTTTGTGTTGTGCTTTTCCTTGACTGATGAAGCCTTCTGGATGGAAGGTGAAACATTTCAGCACAAAAAAAAAAAAAAAAACTGTCCAGATGACCTGACTGGAAATTGTTGGGTTGTATACCTGGATTATTGAGCATGGACTTTGTTGGTTCACGTTTACGTTGTTTTAAAACTTGAGTTCAGTCTGAGTCCATCAGGTTTGTTCTGCCGTTTACTTCTTTTTAGTCTGTTTAACTTGGTTTGTTTAGTTTGATGTTTACTTACAAGCTTCTCCTCCTCCTTGTTGTTTAACTCATGATCCGGGATCAGTAATGTTGCATCACGGAGAGAGAAATGGAAAATACAGCAAAGCGGTGCTAAATAATCTGGCGTGGAGTATGATGAAGTCTCTGCATGGGACTGGGATGACTCTCAGCTACTACAGCTCCAGTTGTTTGCGCAATTCCCGTAAAAGAAAATAAAAAAGACAGAGATTTTGCCATTTTTACGTTTGCTAAGGTTGTCTAGCCGTGACAGCCATCTTGAATCGGTTTGATTCCAACAGTTAATCGGTTGAAGATGTCTATTTAGCGAAAATTTTGTAAGAATTTCAGTTAAATCCATCCAGTGGTTCATGAGATATTTTGTTAACAGACAGACAAACAAGCAAACATGATCATCTGGTTTTGATGGTGACAGGCTGTAAAGACTTTGATGTAGAAGCTCCTGCAGAGACTCAGAGACAGAGCAGGTTTAATTTAAGAGTTTTCTTTCTGCAAACATTTGATCTCATATTTATCTAAAACTAACTCCTCTCTGTTTCTGTCTGATCTGTGACAACAGAAGGTCAGAGCCCGGACTAACACACGGGACATTTTTAGTGTGTGAGCGTGAAGAAGAGAGTTGTGAGCTCGCACTGAGCTGTACAGCTGCAGGAGGGAATCAGACGCCATCAGACATGTTTTCTGATCGCCTCACCACATCCTTCACGTCGTCACCACAGAAGCTTCTCTTCACATCTGTGGGAAAATGTAACACTGAGAAACGACCTGCTGTCTCTGCTGGATTCAAGTCTGTTCATCCATCCATCGTCCATCCATCATTCATTATCCATCCATCCATCCATCAATTCATCCATCATCCATCCATCATCCATTCATCATCCATCCATCCATTCATCCAGCATCATCTATTCATCCATCCATCCATCCAGCATCATCTATTCATCCATCCATCCATCCATTCATCCATCATCAAACAATCATCCATCCATCCATCCATCCATCCATCCATCCATCATCTTGAATGACAGAATGACCAAACTGAAAACTGACAGTAAAACTGGTTTTCTTTTTCAGAAACAGATCCTGTCTAACTCTGAACGCTAGGAAAAACCTTGTAACTGTGACCTTCCTTCCCTCCAATGATTATGGTGACATTATTTACATGAATGCTCCTACAAGAACCCTGCAGATGTTGGATGCTGTCTATCATGGTGCACTAAGATTCATAACTGGCTGTAACTACTGTACCCATCACTGCACCCTGTATTCACTGGTTAACTGGTCATCATTAACTTCACGCAGACTCTCTCACTGGTACATTTTCGTCTTTAAATCACTTCTTGGTCTGCTGCTTTCATACATCTCCTACATTTCACTGCGTGAGTGTAGCTACAGCGTGCGCTCTCAGGACATTATTACCTGCAGTGTTCCTCAGTGAGGACTGAACTTGGCAAAAGGTCCTTCTCCTACTCCGCTCCTGTTTTCTGGAACATCTTGCAAAAAGATCTGAAGCTCTCGACCTTGACCTCTCTTAAGTGGCTTCAAACATCTGCTAAGTTCCTGGAAAAAAACAACGCAGACATGCTCCTGTTTTGAGTTTCCTACATCACCTTACAACCTAGCTGTTTTTTGTTACAGTTTTTAACATGATTTTATTTCAATTGTTATTCTCAATTTGTACACATCCTTTGATTATCTGTTGTTATTCACTGTTGCCATAACTCTTTATTAAAATCAGGTTTCTCCTGTAAATGAGTCTCCGAGGCTCAGTGGGATTAACCTGTATAAATAAAGGTCGAATGAATCTTCCACTTGTTCTCGAGTTAAGTCTCGGGGTCAGCAGGGAGGCCCACAGCCCCCGCTTCCAGCTCTTTTGGGGGGACTCCAAGGCTTTCAAAGTGTCTGGGTCTTCCCGGTGGTCTCCTCCAGGTCGGACATGCTGGAGCACCTCCATAGGGAGGCGTCCAGGCTCCATCCTTACCAGATGTCTGAACTATCTCAGCTGGCTCCTCTGGATGTGGAGGAGCAGTGGTTCTGCTCCGAGCCTTTCCTGGAGAACTGAACTTCTCTGAGAGTCCAGCTCTCCTGTAGAGAAAAATCATTTTGACTGCCTGCATCTGTGGCAAACAAACAAGCAAACCAACTTTTGGTTGTGAAAAACATGTTGCGCAGAACAACAAGCATTAAAGACACCATGTTTCAAACCAAAACAGTATCATCTTTGTCTGACATTCATTTTAACTTTACCCCATTTATTCACGTCCTCCACTTTAAAATCTAAAACACAACGAAACAGATAAATTACACATGGAAGACCAATCATTTGTGTGCACTAGCTACTTTTCTGCAATGAATTATTCTCAATACTTTGATTAGTTTGTTGGAATCTTCTTCATTAATAATAAATAAAAAAATCAGCTAAAATTATGTATTTTCGAACTTCTGAGAAATAAGATATATTGTTTTCTACAACTTGTTTTGTCCATCTCACTTCCGAATTAAATTCATTATGCTTGTTTTATGTTCTAATTAACACAATTTATAAAAACGACGTCGTGCAACTTAATTCGTTTTGTAGTTTTCATTGAGATCTTCTCAGGGTTTTATTCTGTTGTGCAACAAAAAGGGCCTGATAGGTATCAGGCGTCAGGAAAAACATTTTTATGAACATTTTGCTCAGTTGAGTCACTTCGTACAGATTAACAGCAACGATAACGTTTCAGTCTAAAAGGAGTTTTCTCATCAGATTGAAAAGGCAGCGTATTTCTTTCTCATGACAGAATGAAATAAGCAGTTTGAACCTTTGTCTCCTACCTCCCTGCAGAACACCTGCTGTGATCTTCATCTTCACCCTCCTCTTCCTCTAAACCGACACTTGAGCTGCTCCTGATGGAGGCCAAGGGAAAATATGAATTTACTGCCAGCGCTGAGGACGAGCTCAGCTTTAAGAAAGGCGACATTCTGAAGGTGAGTTTGTTTTGATCACAGAACGTTCCTCTGTTTTAATTTAAGCAGAGTGTAACACTTGATCACTTCCTGGTTCTGTTTCTGGTCAGATTTTAGTCTTCGAGGGTGAGTGGTGCAAGGCTGAGATCAACGGACAGGAAGGATATGTGCCAAGAAACTACATCGAGATGCAGGTTACAGAGTAAGAGACGCATCAGTGAACCGCAGCAGAAGATATTCACATCGCCCTGTTTTAGCTGTCATGCCAGAGTTTAGATCATCTCATGAAGAGAAATGATGTCAGAACTTGAAAATAACATCCAGCTCACATGACCCATTAGTGCTTGGAACATTTGTCGAGGATGACGCTCAGCTACTGCCACGCCAAAGTTTAGCTCATTATCAGTACAACTGGTTTTGCTGCTTCCATAAGGACAGTTGGCTGTGGCGGCCATTTGAAATTGGGTTGACTCCAAATGTTCATCAGTATTAGACACATGTCTGTTGATTAATTCCTGAAAGTTTCATTAAAAACAATCTGGTGGGTCATGAGATATTTTGCTAACACAGATCAAAATGACAATAGTTATTGGCAACATTTTCAGAAGAAACCTTTTTTCATCATCACTCAGACAGTGTATGGGGACAGCGTCAGTTTCAACCACACCAGATTTTAGCTCTTTGTCCATAAAACTGGTTGAATTTTGACTCGTTTAATGTTTTTTTTAAGACTGATTGAATTCAGCTGACTCCAAAAATGACTTAGTCAATGCTGGGATTTTATTTCTGATAGTTTGATCCAAATCAGTTCAGTGATCCATGAGATGTTTTTGCTGAGAGTTTGAACAAACACACACATAGACATGGGCGAAAACATTATCGCTCCAGCTCCTGCGACAGCTGAAGCAACATGACAGCTAGCAAGACACTACAAAGGTCGTACGCTTTGACTTGTTGATAACGAGGCCCTCTCTGCTCAGGTGGTTCCGGGAGAACACGAGTCGAATGCAGGCAGAGGAGCTCCTGAAGAACAAGCCCCTGGGAGACTTTGTGATCCGAGGGTGTCAGAGCTCCCCTGGAGACTACTCCATCTCTGTCAAGTAGGTGAAGCAGCTGGAGGTCAGAAAAATGCTAACTGCAGCATGGTAGCATGTCAGCTAAATGCTAACTGTAGCATGGTAACATGTCAGCTAAATCCTAACTGTAGCATGGTAACATGCCAGCTTAATGCTAATTGTAGTGTGGCAACATGCCAGCTACTGTAAATGCTAAATATAGCATGATAACATGTCAGCTAAATGCTTACTGTAGCATGGAAACATGTCAGCTAAATCCTAACTGTAGCATGGCAACATGTCAGCTAAATGCTAATTGTAGCACGATAACATGTCAGCTAAATGCTTACTGTAGCATGGAAACATGTCAGCTAAATGCAAACTGTAGCATGGCAACATGTCAGCTAAATGCTAACTGTAGCATGGTAACATGTCAGCTAAATGCTAACTGTAGCATGGTAACATGTCAGCTAAATCCTAACTGTAGCATGGTAACATGCCAGTTTAATGCTAACTGTAGTGTGGCAACATGCCAGCTACTGTAAGTGCTAAATATAGCATGATAACATGTCAGCTAAATGCTTACTGTAGCA